CAGGATAAAAGAACCACCACCAAAACAATAAATCACACACACAATAAAGAAGATGTTGAATAAGTGCAGGATGGTTATTGAAGCTAAGTAGTAGAAGCTATAATCAGAGCTGGAATGAGTTGGAAATCATTTTGATGATTACATTTTATGACATGATAGAAATTAAAGAATCAATAGAGAAATAAATCAGCAAAATAATCCATTCTGAAATCAATTATAAATTAAAATAAATATGGGGATTACTATTATTGTCATTGTTGGTAGTAGCAATCAAATTAAATCTATCATCACTCATTCAGGAAATAAAGAACAATTGAATAATTGTAATTTCACACTGAATGTAAAACTTTTCTAAACCCTCACATGTTCAGACGCCCCTGAGATCATGCCGCCTGGGTCAGTCTCTTATCTCTCATCTTCTCATGGGTCCATGCATCTCACTGCTGCAGCTCCCCTGGGTGCAACAACACCAATCACTGCATCAATCTCATTGGCCTCTTTGACCTCCACAGCCACAACAGTGTGTCTCAATACACCGACAAAAACAGGCAACGCAAAGACAGCATCTAGAATAGAGATGGACTGTAAGGTTACAGAATAACCAAAACATAGGAAATTACACGGATATGTTTCATTGAAGGGTAAACATTTTTATATAAATAGTTTTTTGAATAGATTCGCAAAAAGGGAAGCAGATTGACCAGCTTTCATCTGAATTTAACTGCCCCTATATTGTCTTGAACATGACATGCACAAGTGACATTAACATTCACCAAGTATTCCTTAAATTAGGTTACTATAGAAAGCCATAAACGTCAATGCATGTGATGTCATGTATAATATAATAAAAAGGAGAAATAATGAGCAGTGTGTGCTATGTAGTGCAGCTGGATTTCACTCATTCTCTGTACTCTGCTGCCCTCTAGTGTTCAGCAGCATAAACAGTACACACATTTTCTGAAAGTGCATAGTCTGAATTAAGCACATCTAAACAAAATCAACACCAAATTGTCAACCTGGACTGCACCAAAGCAAGGGCTGAATTCAGCTAACATAAGCCAACATGTTGAAATGTTTGCCTAACATGTAATACATCTCAACAGATTTCACCTGTTCTTCATGTCAATACTGTCATTTTTTCTTTTTTTGATTCCTTATTTAATGCTTTTACACGTGAAACACCAGATCTTTACCCAGATTCAAGCCGAACAATGCAATCTAAATCACCTCCTTTCCTCTCTCTGCTGTGTAGAAATCTTTGTGAGCTCTGACTGGTTCGGAAACGCCTCCAGAAAGAAAGAAAGAAGGCAGAGGAAGGAGAGTATAAAGGTGCAAGGTCAAATAGCAAGTGGTGACTGACAGGAAATAGATCCACCCACACAGAGAAACCCCCTACACCACCTACACTGGGCCTGAAGGCTAATGCATCAAAACAGGGGGGATGTGGTGAGAAGAGGTGGAGGGGGTTAGATAAACCATATCATAAAAGCAAAGCATCCAAATAGAAAATAAAACAGAGGAGGGAGGCGGAAGAAAGATCTGCATGAGGTAATTGCATACGAAGGAACGGTGGGAAACAATTGCTGTGCATGCAGAAACAATGTCGAGTCAATTTAAAAAATCCATTCAGGACAGATTTTGCACAGATCAAAACAATTTAATCCTCAAGTATTTATTTATATTCATTTCCGCTGTAGCTGTGGCAGCCTTGCAGAATCAGAAGGATGTTTGAAGCCTTGACATTAAGGCAACAGCTGCAGGCAAAATGTCATCTTTTTTTGTGAGTTTACACGTCCACTGTGACTCCATAAAAACACCAACTGGGTCTCCGTCAGTCACACAAAAACAATCTCTCCCACACCCCCTATTTCTCTTTTCTTGTCCCCCTGTTCCTGTTCTCATTCATCTAAAACACTCTAAAGTCTCCCCTCCGGATAAACAAAACGTACCACGAGACCCAGTTAGCTACTAATAACCAACCGAAATGTGTGTCACGACCGAGCTCTCCCCTTCAAACCAGACCAAAATGTCCTTCCATGGTTTCCCCACTGAGGGGCAGACAGACATGCACAGAGGAGGGGATAACCAGTGACACACACACTGACACACACACACACAGGCAGGCAGAGTGTACTAGGCTGTGCGGTGGGGTCTTTAACGGTTCACTGATTATGTTCCAATTTTAATTTGGTGAGGAGAATTGCTTCGCATTGAATGGTAATGTTTTTTTATATGCAGAAGGATAAAAAAGGAAGCTGCACATTTCATACACTCGCAGGTACATATTACGTGGGTCATACTCAAGGCAATAGTGAATTAATCAATAGAAAATATGTTCTGTCTCTGAACACGTAGTCACAATACAGTGCAAAGAGGGAAATACACAGAGTTTAGGATGATGAAGGAGATCAAAAACATGCCCTTGTATTACTATGCGTACATTTATTAGGTAGATGGTATATCAAGTGATATCAAGACATGCTGTGATGATGATTCATGC